CAACAACAACAACAACAACAACAACAACAACAACAACAACAACAACAACAACAACAACAACAACAACAACAACAACAACAACAACAACAACAACAACAACAACAACAACAACAACAACAACAACAACAACAACAACAACAACAACAACAACAACAACAACAACAACAACAACAACAACAACAACAACAACAACAACAACCAACAACCAACAACCACAACCACAACCACAACCACAACCACAACCACAACCACAACCACAACCACAACCACAACCACAACCACAACCACAACCACAACCACAACCACAACCACAACCACAACCACAACCACAACCACAACCACAACCACAACCACAACCACAACCACAACAGCAGCAGCAGCAGCAACAACAACAACAACACCAGCAGCAGCAGCAGCAGAAGCAGCAGCAGAAGCAGCGAACGAGCAACAGCAACAGCAAAAGCATCAGCAACACGGAACAGATCCCTGAAGCGTTGGACATCCCCAATGTGTTGCCCATGCCACGCCGCGTTTGCATACTGGTGGCTACCAAGGAAAACTGGAAGGACGCATAAGAAACCTGAGTAACCAAAGTCCAACCCCAGTCTGAGCAGCCCTAGTCAGCCATTGCAACGGCCTCCTGCAAAACACACGGCCCCAAATGGTTCCGGCGGACCGGGCGCCTCACGCAGCGCTCGAGCACCTCCGCCTCCTCGCCCTCGTCGTGCGACAAGTTGTCGACATCGGGCTCTTTGCCTTGGAGAAACCCAAATCCCCTTTCTGTTTCCCACCATCCGAGTAGTCTGAGACATTCCGGTTCTATTCCTCACTCGCATGGGGTGTCCACAAATGTTTCGCGTTCAAAAGGGTTGGTGCCAAAAAAGGCCAAGGTTAAATCATGACCCTAGACCAAAAACCTGTGTAGCTTCTGCCCGCAGAGTGTGGTGCTTTGCCACGGTCATAATATTTTCCGCCCAACCACTGCCAGTATATAGCAAGGAAGGAGTGTAAACTCCTGGTTGTGGCTACACTCAATGACCAACAAAAAGCAGACCTTTCAGCTCAGCTATGTGAGCTCTTCTTGATTTACGGCAACCTTCGTGAAAACCGACCCTAGCCCAGTCCGGATGGTCTGAGAAAAAGGAGCCCAACTGCGATGCCACTACGCCGTTGGGACACGATGATGTCCTCAAAGACCAGCTTGCGTGTAAGGAGAAAAGCTGCACAAACAGGTGTGGTAGGAAAATAATTGTTGCTTGTTTGTGCGTCGTATCGCGTGTGTTGGCAAAGGGTGGCGCATCACGGCATCTTCAGCCAGCACCGCGTAGAGGCGTGCGTCCCAGAAAAGACCTATTTGATCACGAAAACCATCCTGGAAGATGGCGGCGGTCTTGCGGCATGGTCAGTCAGACTGTGGACTGCGTCGCGACGTAGTTGAACGTGCCGTCTAGACCCTCCCAGTGGATGGTCTTGCCGATGATGAGGCCGATGCAGGCCTAGCGGTAGTTGGCGGCAAGATGCAGACGAGCTTTGCGCCAGAAGCAGGGCATGAGAAAGGGCATGAGCAAGCCGATGCGTGTCGTGCCTGTTCGTCACCAGCCGCTTGCTCAGGGGGGGGCGACCGGGCGTGAGTTGGTAGCAGGCGTACACCCGTGCGTCTGCGCCTCTGAAGTCGCCGAACTCCCCTAGCAGGAAGTTGAGCCCGGTAATGTGCGTTCGGACGCTGGACTTTGCCTTTCGTGGTTGCGCTGGAGATGGAATGCGTCATGCGGGTAGCCGACGCTGACGGCCGGAGTCGGATGCCATGGTGAAGCTTGAGGCGCTCGGCCAGAGCTGTTGGGCGCTGAAGCGGTCGCGACAGGGGTGCCGCGACAGTGTCGCTGCTTGTAGGGCTGGGTGACGTGATCTGGCGAGCGCATAGGGGTGCGAAGTGGGCGAAATTATGCTAGAAAGTGCTGTAGCCAACACGCACGGTCCCATCTAGCTTGAGATTGTCCGAGCATGAAGACGCGCTGGAACTCTGAGGAGGAGTCTGACTTCTTTAGGATGAAGGTACCCGGCAACATCAGATCCGAGTTCACAAAGAAGCCTCGAAGCCCGTGTCTTTCACCAAATCCCGCCCTCCATCTGCGTGGAAAAAGGGCTGCCCACCATCTTCATCGATGACAAGGCCATTGGTGCGCCAGCTCCAAGTTGCTGGTCAGAATGTTCGAGTTCAGTTCAGCGTCAAGAACCGACTGGTTGGTTTCAGCGGCTGGGACGCACTCAAGCACGGCCGCCTGACATTTCATCATGACCATGATACGAAGCCCTCCTTTCAAGAGCAAAGCGTGGCAGCTACTCATTCCTTGACGAAGTCAAGCTCGAGTTGAAAACGATTGGCGTGGAAAGCTGACTGCAGCTGTGAACGCTTGTTCATTATTCAGGTGTATGGCCGCTGTCCCGGGGTGGGCGATGTCCAGTATGAACATGTCAACACTGATGCCTGAGCGACCTCCAAGGATGCCCGTGACCCAAACCTGCGATCAGGTCTGCAATCACCTTCAGATTATATGCTGTGACTCCCAGCGGAATGTACCTGTGCACCGTGCCGAGAAGTCGCCTCCGTGCGATTTCGCCAGGACTCTCGGCCCAGCTGAATGCCTCCTCCCCAAAGATGCGTGAATCCATGGCTGGTGTCACTAGGTCATCCCTGGTAGGCGCCTGAGCCAGATCTTTGTAGCGTGGCTTGAAAAAGCTGATGTTTAACCAACGAAGGGGAAACATGCGGACCCCTGCCTTAGGCTAGGCCCATGTCATCTTGGCTAGAATTCTTAGATCCGCTGCCTTCGCAGAAGCCGCGTCTAGCATAGCCTAGCCAACCCTCTCCAAACCCAGGACACAGGTTGTATACGTATGAATGTTGTTCGCGAGCTCCTTTTCCGTCCCAAGATAGCCCAGCTGACACACCGAGTTTCCTCTCGGAACCAGTTTCGTGGAGGGTTCCGCGACATGGGAGGGTGAGGGGATAGCAGGGGGCGGTGCTTTTGCCGAAGTGCTTGGTTGAAGATGATAAACTGCCACTTTCTAGATTGGGAAATCCATTCATTTGGTTCCAAACCACCAGATTTTGTTGGGGTTACCCTTGAGCCACAGCCATTGTTCTTGAAAGCTGGTTTTAAAGAGAACAAGCGTAACCCCTTGTAGGGCGCTGGCGAACTTGCAAAAAAAGGCCACAATAGCCAAACCAACGTCTCCAAACGCTTAGCAAGGAATCTGGGCAGGCTTCAAGACACATCCGCCAAAGGACAAACTGCGGTCCTCTCATCCCAAAATATCTGTCAAGCAATAAATGGTTAGCCTTTCGGGCCGCAAGCTAAAAGTGGCCGCTCCTGGGGCCCAAGCACATCAAACGTGTCTTTGCTTCTGGGCAAGATGTAGCTGTTTCGAGGCGCGGCTGAGTGTGGCCAGCGCGTCCGCGAGGGAGTGCCCCGCGTGCAAGCTGTCCCCAGGATATCCGGGTCTAGACGTCCTGGTCGATCCAACCCGGGTCATGGGCAAAACCTGATATTGAAGGAATCTAGTGCTAACTTTGGCATTCATCCGCCGGGCTCTACGGGTCAAAGGAGCCCCCAAAAATAGAGAATGTCCTTACAAAACGGGGAACCACCCCCGATTACCCTTTGTCGCGACTCCAAATGCCCAGATCCATCCATTCAGTCAGGTTTGGAACAGGTTCTCAAAATGAGCATGCTGAGCTTTGGGACTCTTCAGGCAGAAGCATTTGAAGAGCAAGCAAAGCGGCGGCTGACCTGAACAAAGAAGCCGACCAAAATGCCATTTCACTGCCCGCTTCCTCACAAAATGGAGGTAGAAACGCTCATGAAAGCGCCCGTGCTTTTCGAGGAAGCCAAGTTTCATCATGTGTGCCATAAAGCTCCTTGCAGAGCTCAATCATGCGCCCCTAGCCTGTCCCCCTGATGTATGCCACGTGTATATGTGTATATTACATACACATACAGAATAGCTACATAGGTAATGGCTATACAACGGCTTTTCAGCAGGAGCTGTTTTCTGGAGTAGGCCACGCAAGTTCCTGCGTGGTTGTGGAGCCCCTGGACGCTGTCACACACTCCGACAGTGTCCTGGGCCCGTTGCAATCTGCCTCGAGCTCAGCATGGCGAATAGCGGAGAATTGCATCGGCAGGCCGAGGGTGTTTGATCCCGGCTCGACCGCTTGAGCACTAAGCGGCTCCTGCCATCGCATGACCTATGCTGATAAGGAAATTGAGAGGAATAACTCACACCAACACCTTTCAACAGAGTCCCATGCCAAAAGGACTGTCAGCCACTGAAGATGCCAGCCAGCCTCCACATTTCCAGTCGGGAGGAACCCAGGGTTCCCATGGTTGTGGTGGCTCATCCAAAATGGGGCTCCCTCTGAATTAATGCGACATGCAGTGATTCTCTGGTCAGCAAAATCTATCATGAACAGTGATATGCCTTTACAAGCATGGCCCACTAAAATGCTCTTCCCCAGAAAGTGACCAACGTCGAGAAACTTGAGCAGTGGGCCTTGTTCAAGGCTTGTCTCCAAGAAGTTGCTAGGAAAATGGCCATGGTCACGTCTCATAGCGACCCCCGCACACATCTCCCGGACACGGTCGAAATAGGCCGTTTCCCTCATGGACATTGGACATGTGCATGCCCAGTCTTGAAATATTGCCACTCTCGTTTCCCGTCTCATCTCGGCAAACACCAAGTGGCAGGTCAGCCAGCTGCACGTTTCGTGTTGGACAAGGCACGAAGCTGGGAAAAGCAGGACGTGAACGGGCGAGTAACTAGTAGCACGCATTAGTTGTCGGAAAAGTATATTTCTGCGATACCAAAGTAGGATCTCCTCATTAAACACTGCTTCTGGCCTCTGACTACTTTGTCGCTGTGCTGCGTTTACTGAGGATTCACTTATCACAGAAAGTGGACCTCAAACCCTAGCATCACCGGACCAACTTCCCGTTGCC